ATGTTGCATTGCTCGATGTAGAGGTTGTTCAGCCAGTTTTGGACATGCTGGGGAAAATTAACCAAAGATGACCCGTCCTATTGCGAAGCAGATGATGAGGTGGAAGCACTTGAACGATTCCTCTGTGGCAGTGTCAGTCCCAATCCCTTACTGTGTGCTCTGCGCTTGCCTAAGACTTGGGACATAATCCCCTCCTCATTGACCGTCGTGGATGAATCTTCCCCAGCAGACAGTGTCATCTGCGTGGTTCTTTCCACCTCCATCTGAGCCTGCAAAGGTAAATGAAATAAAAATAGTATAATATGTTATGTTAAATATGAAAAAAGAAATAAGTTTAAAATTACTTACAAATGCTTGTTCCGCGTCCGGATTGATAATATTCTGCCATGACGGTGAATGTCACCCCAATTGTCAATTAATGATCTTAGCTCCTGAGTCTCATATGAAAAAAGAAATAAGTTTAAAATTTACTTACAAATGCTTGTTCCGCGTCCGGATTGATAATATTCTGCCCATGACGGTGAATGTCACCCCAATTGTCAATTAATGATCTTAGCTCCTGAGTCTCAGAATTTGCTTAATCAAGTTGAACGTGTTAGACTAATTATTAAGCCAAAGTGACAAAAACTTAACAAGTATGCAAATTAGTATTACCTTATCGAAACGATGCTGGGAGTATGACTTTCTACTAAGGAAGCTAGACCACTTTTGACTGCCACGGTTTTGTTGATTTGTAGTAGATTTTTTCTACTAATGATCATAGATGAATTAGTAACATAGTTAATAATTAAATAAATCAATTAATCAAAAGTAAGAAGACATAATGAAATTGAACCTGAAAAGGAGGGGACGTAAAACGATCACAGCAAGGTCCCCATTGCTCTTTTCTCCTCAAGTTTTTAAGAGGATTTTGCCTGACAAAATCCTTATTTTCTGCCCCTCCCATCTTCTGGAAATGTCTATGCAAGGTAGTCTTCCAGTCTTTGTAACATTTACTGGCTTCACGGTCGACTACATCTCTAATGATGCCGTTGTCGCGGTCGTAGTCGAGGTTAAACCAATCTTGGAATACATTAAAAAATCAACAAATAAATCTTATTTATTGTATCCACAATTAAAAATTTTTAGAACAAATTTTGTTTCAAATAGATACCAACATGCGATTTTGAATCCTCATTTTATGCTCCTCAGGCACGTCCTTCTAGGCATTGTAGTGTGGGTCACATATATCTCTTATGTGCAAGCTGACAGCACTGTCAAAATATTTGGCGTTTTCGCCAATCGCCTGCCATGAACCTGTCTCGTCAAACAAGACAAAAAACTTCCCATCTTTTTGCACTTTCTCCACTATATCTCTACCTATAGCTACTCCTCGGTTTTATGCTCCTCAGGCACGTCCTTCTAGACATTGTAGTGTGGGTCACATATATCTCTTATGTGCAAGCTGACAGCACTGTCAAAATATTTGGCGTTTTCGCCAATCGCCTGCCATGAACCTGTCTCGTCAAACAAGACAATAAACTTCCCATCTTTTTGCACTTTCTCCACTATATCTCTACCTATAGCTACTCCTCGACCAGACCGACGTCGAGATGTCAGCTCCGAAACTGTAAGAATAAAAATAACAAAATTTATTATAGAGAGTTCGACAAGTAACAAGTTTTGAGAGTATGTGTTATAGCGTATAATACCTGACTGACAATGTGCCGAGAGTCTCGTCGGATCAGGTGGAGGCTGTGATCCTCCTGCAGAGCCGGCGCATGTAGCTGCTGGGCTAGACATTGAAACGTTGTGTCGTAAAAAAAAATTTTGTTAGAAAACACTTATGGTTTAAACACCTCCGACACGGACAACTTGTTGAGATGTTGAGATGTCGCTTCAGCAAATTTGAGTTATCCACTAAGACTGTTGTTGTATGTATTAAATTCTTACAGTGCACATATTTTCCAAATGGATTTTGGAATTTCACCAGAAAGCATATTACTGCTGAGATCAAGGTATTGAAGAGAAGTCATGTTTCCAAAACCTTCTGGAATGGATCCATCTAGCTTATTGCCGCTAAGATCAAGTTGTACAAGGGCAGTCATATTCCCAAAAGATTTTGGAATGGGGCCTCCTAATTGACTGCTTCTAAACTCATATCCTAATTAGCTGATTCTAGGATCATATATCCTATATTTCGCCGCCTCTAAGACTAAGGTATTTAAGGGAGGTCATATTCCCAAAAGAGTTAGGAATAGAACCTTGTAATCCATTGCCAACAAGATAAAGGGATTCAAGAGCAGCCAAATTCCCTAAAGCTTCCGGAATGGAAGCATTCAACATGGAATAAGAGAGGTCAAGATGAACAAGGCTACTATAGTTGCACAACCATTGAAAGATTGAGGTATCTTACCTCGCTTAGCCTACCGATAAAACTTAGGTTGGTCGTGTTCTCAACTATGAGGCGGAAACCACTCAAGTCTAAATACTTCAAGTAGTGCATGTCAACCAATGAAGGACATATTTTTCTTAAAATTTCAACAATCTCAAAATTCAATCTATAATTCATATTTCAAATTATATACTAATTCTAAAATCTCTAAATCAAACTTCAAGATTTATAATCCATAATTATACACAATTCAAATAACAAAAAACTCATACATTTTAAACTAAAAAAATACAATAATTATAGAAAAACTTACAAAATTCAAACCCACTAAAACGGGGGCTGAAAACGACAAGATAAACAGGGGCAAAGGGCGGCGGCGGCGACGGACTTTGGGTGAGATTTTGGGATTTTTTTGGATGAAAAAACAAATTAAACTTATAATATTGTTGATTTTGAAGATAATACAAGGAGATTTTACGAGTTTGGGGTCAGAAAACCGGAGAAAACCGGTGAGAGTCCGAGAGAGAGAGAGAAGCCGATTGGAAAAAATGGAGGAAGCTTTTCTCATGGGCATATAACATATTTTTTTGCGACGAGAGAAAAAAATATAACTTAAAATTATTTACGACGATACCTATATTATTTGCAACGACACATGTTGTCACAAATATAATTCAATTATTTAGGGTTTAGGAGGAAGGTTCTGGAATTATTATTTGCGACGACACCTATAATGTCATCGCAAATAATTTTTAGGGACCCACCCAATTTTTCAGCCTTTTATTTTACTGAGAGAATACAAAATCACTTATTGCGACGACACAAATTAATGTCGTCGTAAAAATATTTTTTCACTTGCCAAAATAATCCTTTTTGCTCGGGGGAAAATAAATAAATTAAATTTTATTTGCGACAACATGTGTCGTCGTAAATAGTTAATTATTTACAACGACATATCGTCACAAATAATGTTATTTTGGCACTAAAAGTTTGTGCCAGACAAGATCTGCCGCCAAGCAAATATTTACAACGGCATGTGGGTTTTTAACGACGACAATATTTTTTCAGTTTTACAAAAATATGTGTGACGAAATATTTATTTATTTGCGACAACAGTTATCATCGCAAATAACCCAAATTGTAGTAGTGTCATCGGCAGTGGCACATGGGAGACTAAATTTTGTATAACTTCTAATATGGATGCTATTTCTATCTTTAGCTTAAGGACCTTTAAGGGACAAAATTAACGATTTCATCTAAAATTCATACCATTCATAAGACACTTTTTGAGTTTAAAAACTATTTATAAGACAAAAAAATTAACTGCAGAGATTCATTATAGAGAGAGAAAAATTCAGAGACTATTCATGGATTTATTCTTAAATTAAAGAAAATGTTGGTCTTGATCATTTATCAATATCATCAGTGAGTAAAAGGTGTCACTCACGCTATTTTTTTTTTCTTAATTTGAATTTGAGATGCGGCGATTTAATTCACTTTAATATATGTGCACGTGTTTATGTTTATGTTTATGGTGAAGATACGAAGGTTGTTAGAACTCTACGTTTTTTCCTTTATGGGTAAAGAAATGCTCTACAATTTTCCTCGCTCAAGAATATTTTGCATAAATAGGCTACTAATATTAATTAATGGAAGGTCCTAACTTAAATAATAATAATAATGATAATAACAATAATGAGTGGGAAAAAAAAATAGAAATCGAGAATGTTATGGAATTCTTAAAACCACGGGACAAAAACATGATATTTTTACATAATATCTCGGAGATTTACATGCTTTTGTCCTTTACTTGTAGGAGCTACCTCGGGTAACATGGTTCTTTATACATTTGGCCTCTTGAATTTGTAGAGGTTTTTGATAACTTGGCCCTTTGAACTTTAATTTGGATAAATTGTCTCCCAACTTATAAAATAATTATAATATGTCCCATTAACTTAATGATTGTGTTAAATTGATTAAAAAAAGTATATTAAAAAAGAACAAAATTGATAAAATGGAGTACATGGCAATTATTTTTAAGTTGGAGGGGTAAATTGTTAAAATAAAAAAATTAAGAGGCGAGTTGTTAAACATCTATAAACTTAGAGGGCAAATGTGCAAAATATATGACTATTCAATTAAAAGTTTATAATATTAAAAAGGAACAAAATTGATAAAATGGAGTACATGGCAATTATTTTTAAGTTGGAGGGGTAAATTGTTAAAATAAAAAAAATTAAGAGGCGAGTTGTTAAACATCTATAAACTTAGAGGGCAAATGTGCAAAATATATGACTATTCAATTAAAAGTTTATAAGTTTATGAGCTTCAACATCATTTAACTTTAAAGAAATCTTTACTATTCAATTAATCTAACAAATTAGGATTGGAATGGGCAAAATTCGCAGAGTTAGAAGTCTTTGTAAAATTTAGGCTAAACCCAAACAGTGATTGGTACACCGTCTAGACAAAATTCTCAACAAGGACAAAAAGTTTATTATTATTATTATTATTATTTTATATTTTATTCGTGGGCCTTTCTTCCTTTCCCTCTTGATAATGGAAAGTGGGTCAGTCCTTGAAAAGAGTAAGCTCAATTTTTTTGTCAGTAGGGAACGTGAATAGCATGAGACATGTGGAATCCCTTATGCTCATTCCTTTGTCAGTAGAGAACGTGAGTAGCATGAGACATGTGGAATTCCTTATGAATCAATGTGTTTGGTCGGTGGATTCGTGTTATGGTTCAGATTATAATTCGTAACTTGTTATAATATTTTTTCTCATAAAAATATACGTAAATTGAGAATAATTCTAAATCATAATTCTGAATGTGAACCACACGTAAAGTCTCCTTACATATCTTATTATTTATTTAATTTACGTGTTTAAATCAATAATTTTAATTCAAAATTTAAATTTTATAAGAGAATCATTAGCAAGACTTTTTTTATTTAAATTTTATTGAAAAAAAATATTACAACAGAATAAGAATTATGAGTTTAAGTATAAAAATTAAACAAACCTTAAATACTCATATAGGTGACTGATAGCCTAATCAATCATTGACTATTGATTCCAAATTCAAAAACCAGATTTTTTTTTTTTTTTTTTTAAAGAAAAGATCTAACCTAGCCATTTCCTCACTCTCTCACCTCCCTATCTTTTTCTCTCACCAGCACCGCCTTTTGTCGACACAGAGATAACATTGTCGTTCTCATCGGCATGAAAAACTAAATTTAATATAACTTTTAATATAAGGACTATTTCTAAAGATAGAAGATAATTTAAAATTTTTTTATGAGATAAAATTAAGGGTTTCATTTAAAATTTAACAAAAAGAACATTTATAAAAATACTTTTTGAATTTAACGACTTATGAGACAAAATTTATAACTACAGAATTCGACAAAATTTATAACTACAGAATTAATTTTAGAGAGAGAAAATAATACAGAAACTATTCATGAATTTATACTTAAATTTAAAAAAAATATATTGGTATTTTTCATTTTTTAATATATTATCAGTGACTAAAGTGTCACTCACGCTATTTTTTTTTTTCTTTGAATTTGAGGTGTGGCGATTTCAACTCTACAGCTTGTGTTTTAGGCAAATGTGAAAAATACTATTAATTAAGGTTATGCCACCAACCATCAATCACCCTATATATAACGTGTTTATGTTTGTGGTGAAAGATATGAAGGTTTTTAGAACTCTATGTTTTTTTCTTTATGGGTGAAGCTCTACAATTTCCCTCGCTCAATAATATTTTCCATATATAGGCTACTAATATTAATTAATGGACCTTACTAATATTAATTAATGGAAGGTCCTAACTTATAAAAAATAATGATGATAATAACAATTGTTAGGTCCCTTTTTCAGTCGATGTCACAAGTGATGTTACAACACTGGTTGTGACACTGATGACAGTTACGTTGAAATTAAATCAGCAAAAACACGACAGAAAATTGAAAACGTGCGTAAATAGAAAGTAATGCAGGGGAAAACTAAAGAACACCAAAATGATATCGCAGTTCGGTGCGCATATCTACTCTGTGAGGCCATGCCCAGACAGTGAACAATCTACTAAGATAAAGAGATTGCAAACACCAATCAGTCTTACACACTCAAAGACTCCCTCCTTGATGTTGTCGCCGTTGTGGAGAATCCTCTTAGTGGCATTGTCCAGCGAGCACCACTCGTCTTTGAAAACTTTCTCCCGAAAGCAATACGTTCTTCTCCCGAAGAACCACCTTTGTTTTTTTTCACTCAACGAGCATCAAAGCAGCCTTTTTTCTGCAAAATATTTCATTCAAAAGCTCTCACACGAACTCAAAATATCTCTCCTATTTTCAGCCCTATGTCTACACAACACATTTTACCTTTCTGCACACTAATTCACCCTTTATCAAATATCTAAATCACCAACCGTAAATTGCCAACGATAACCACACCCAATAAAGGTAATATCTCATCCATTAATCACAAAATAAAGTCACCAACCCCAATGACAGCAAGGAGACCATAATTCCCATGATTCTTTCCTTAGATGAATCAGTCACAATGCTCCGGCGAAGGTCAACCAAGTAAAATGAGCAAATGCCTATTTTAGAATGCATTACAATCAATTTGTCAAAAAATAAGCTAATACAAAATGCACTAACAACAATAACGAGAGAAAAAGGAAAAAAAAAACAGAAATCGAGAATGTTACATGTGTCGTGGAGTTTTTCCTTGGATATATGTCTTGAAGTCCGAAGGCGCTGGCTAAGTAAAATAGAAGCCACGCAATTGGTGTCAAAATAAGCAGAGAAGAAAACAAAAAAGCAACCGAAAGCGCAATTAATTCCTTACTATATATTGCATGTGTGAGTGAGAGTATATGTATATATGTATATATTTATCTTGTGGCTGTAAGTTTATAGCCATATAAGATAAGATGAGAGCTAGATAAATATATAGATTCATATACACAGAGACAGCCAAGGGTAAGGTCTCCATCAGATGGGAATGAAAGAGAGAGGAAAGACAAAGGGCACCAATATATTATTACTAGTAATACATGTGGAAGCAAAGAAGAAGAACAAAAATTGGAAAAAGATGAATTATCCAAAAATAATAATGATAAGGGTGGTAAGGTTGTGGATGAAGAGGCTGACCAAGTTGGGGTTGGGCAAGGAAAGCTCTACTCCCCGGCGCATGCCCTTAGAATTGATAATATTAATATTAATATGGGAGTTGGAGGTGACATGATAAGGAGAAACTTCGGAGCCATCAAGGAGAGGCTACTGGAGAAGCTGTCGGCCGCCGCCGTCCCCGCCGACGCCCTCGACAACGCCCGCCGCATGCTGGAGAGCGTCCTCCGCGACGTCACGGTGGCCGCCCACGCCCTCTCCAAGGACGCCTTGCACCGCATCAAAACACATCTAGTTGATATTCTCCCTTCTCTCTCCCCTGCCCTCACCACAAAGGTCCACTAGTACTACTATTATCCTTATACCAATATTTGCTGCTTAATTTCTTGATTTATAATGATATATGTTATACTTTAATTACAATTATATATATATATATAGCTTAATCGCAACTTGAATAATATGCTTGATTCATTAGTTAAATGTCTCCTGGCTCTCTACTTAATTTCTTGATTAATCAAGTTGGTATATTTGATTTTTATGAACATGTATATCTATCTACCTTTGCATGCAGATGGTGGACGACGCGGAGAAGGAAGCAACTGCAGGAGCAGCAGAAGATGATAACAATAATAATTATAATGAAGAGATAACCGAAGAAGCGAGTAACGATCATCAAGATTCTGCTAGCACTACTCCGATATTGCTTAATAAACCATCTTCCAAGCTTTGAATTCCATCCTTAATTAGTTACAATATATATATATATATATACATATATATATATAGAGAAGAGAATTCTAATTTTTATATGGAAGTATAATTGGTGTTGTATGTTTATGCATGTGAGCTTCAGCTCAAGTCTTTTCTTCTTTAAGATCGAGAAGAATGGATAAGTACAAATCTATTATTACGAAATAGATGTTCTAAAGTAGGAAAATGCTACACTTATCATAAGAAAAAAATAAGTAAAACGGGCACTCGCATATAAACAATATTTTCTGTGAGTTAAAGTAGTTAGATCAGTAGGCGATTTATTTGAAGACAGGGATGGTTTTTATTATTGTGTGAAGAAGATAAACGCACAGAAAGTAACTTTTTCGTTTCTTGGGCCTCATTTTTGTCCGCTGTTTTCTCTCAATCTTTTACTGTACAAGCTTTAACCATATTTATTATTCTTTTTTTAACCCTATTTATATTCCTCAAAAACTAGATGAGTCATCTACGCGAGTTTCAAAGAAAAGACCATCAGACCATTTATGAGAGACAATGAATAATCTTGTTCTCAGTAGCGCGGAGGGTTTTATATTGTTGTAGTCTCCCAGCTCTCAAAACATGTGTTAGGTCACTTGTCAATACCGAAAAGAGTTTCTAATTACTTATCTAGTTTTTGAGGAATATAAATAGGGCTAAAGCTTGTCCAGTAAAAGAGATAAGAGAGAACAGAGAAAAAAAGTCAGAACCGGACTGGACCGTTGAGGATATGTATTAAAAATAAAAAATAAAAAAAAATAAAAAAAAATAAAAAAACCTTTGAGCATTTGAGAAAAACTGCGTAGGTTTGGTTCATATTTATTGACTTTTGCTTTAGACTACATATTATTGTTGTTTGTAACTTTTAGAATCTTAATTTCAAAGAATGATTCAGTTAATTTTTTCTTTTAATACACTAATAGTCTAAATTGCGATTTAATCGGACCAAATTCGATTCTGTTAGGGTTCATTCGGTTCGCTAATTCGAGTTTTTAATTCGAATTGAGATGTGATTGTTTCTGAGAGCTTTTTACTGTAGCAAAAACTTAGATGTGATTATTTCTGAGAGCTTTTTACTGTAGTAAAACTCGAATTCTAAATTTGAATCAGCGAAAAGAACGGGCCTTTTTTCAAATTGTTAAAATGATCCGGTCTGAAAACTTAACAGTTTAGGACCAAATCAGACTATAAGAAGTCTTAGATAAAATACGTGTAAAAAATACACAGATAGTTTAAATCTCATAATATCTCCAGAACTAGGAAAGTGAATATTTCAAAAAGACTATATATTCCTCTATTTTGTTATGTATTAAGTGTGATTATTTTTAAAAAGTTATGTTCAGGAGATTATACTCTAGAAAAAGCTCCAAGTCTCAAGCATCAAACTGCGTAACACTAGTGAACGTACACTTCAAGAAAATTGATTTTTTGCTATCAAAATTTGTGCTACCAAAATTATTTGGGTAGTAAAACCATGTTTTTGGAGACCAAAATTTAGTAGTATAAAGTTGACGAGTTCTTATTATCAAATTTGGTAGCAAAACACGATGATTTTACAACCAAAAAAAAAATATTTGGTAACAGAAAATATGGCGCCAAACGAAAATGATTTGGTGTCAAGACTTTTTGGCAACCAAAAAGAATTCTATAAGGAAAGTGATCTCCTTGTAATGGAATGGATAAATTTTACGAATTCTCTCTACATTATGATGTCTTTTGTGTCAATATGTCTCATAAATTATGATTTGTTACATCTGTTGATCTATGGAACGTCTTCAATTGTACTCTCTCTCTTTAAATCTGTCTATTTTGTAACGAGAGAGCATGTGATGTACCGGTGAGGAGGGAAAAAAAATCTTTTAAAACACTAGCTAACCAGCTGGAATTAGGGTTCCTCTTTGCAAATAGGGCAGAAAAAAAATTTAAAAAAAAAACAATATAGAACTCTGTGTTGTTAGCGTGTTAGATTGTAACTAATTTTCTGATTGGATTTTTTTATAAAAAAAAAAAAAAAAAAAAAAAAAAAAAAAAAAGCAACTCAAGGAGCAAAAATGGAGGAGTTTTGGCACCCACTAATTTATTTAAAGAGAAGGTTCATTGGCCAAAACATAACACACATGCCAATTAAATAAATAAGCCAACAAGCAAGAACTTCTATTAAAAAAAACAAAAGAAAAATTGAAAGATTTCAACTGGGTGGTAAAATTATAGACGTTCTAAAGATTAAGGGAGATAACAGATATGGTTCAAAATTCAAGTAACAAGTTGATAAAAGTGATATAATTCAAAAGAAATTTGTGAAATCTATGGTAATAGTGTATATAACTGCACTGATAACTCATATAACTACAAGCGTGTTCATAAATTATTTATGAATATCACAAAATTGCCTAAGCTAAGGCCAAAAAAAAAAAAAAAAAGTAATTTACACACACCTATCATCGTCAAAACAATAGAGCTTCAAGGCCCATCATCTCCATCTCCAATCAAATTACAAATATCTGAACATTCCACTAGACTGCACAAAAGCCAATTAAACATCTTTAAGTATGAAAATTAAGATGACAATTATCAAAGTTCTAAATTCTTAGAAATGCCATCAAACTCGTAATAGATTTTGCTTCAAAGAGTCTCCAGCAATGATATGTTTTCTATGCTCAACCCAACATTTTTCCATCACGTGTTTGATTTTTTCTTTGGAAGCTTATTAAATTGAAGTGTTAAAAATAGAAAAAAGTGTATAAAATATGAGAGTCCATTTGTTATAGGAGAAAACTGCAAAAGTTATCTTTAAAAGTGTTACTTCTCATTCTTAATTAATATATTTTCACTAGTATAATTATCTAACTAAAAATGTTATAATTAAAAATAAAATTCCTCACTCATACACTTTTAAAAGATATATATCTCTTTTCTCCCTCATATAACTTATGTATATACAGCCATATATATTGGGAGAAGCATATATATTTCAACATTACATCGAATTAAGGTAGACAGAAAATGTACCAGTATTTACGGCTTCGAAACCCTTCCTTGAATACAATCAAAGGTCTGCCAAAAAGAAAAAAAGGAAAAGAAATCAATCATGTCATACTAAAGTAATTTCTTTTTTTTTTTCTTTAGTAATGTGACAGTACTCAATATAAGAAATTAGACTTTCCGCAACCAAAAAATTCTGTTATTAAAAAAAGTTTTAGTAGCAGAAAAGGGCATTTTACGACCCAAATTTGATAGATAGCGGCAGTACTGCCGGCAGAAGTTTGCGGTACCTCCTGATGTTAAAAGGGCCTTCCCCAGGAGAGCCATCCCCACCTCGGATGCAAGTGGTGACACACTTGATAGTGCATGACTCTGCTTTCCTAGACTTTGGCTTCTGAATCCTTGGCTTTTTACAATCCGTGGGCAGCACGCATTCCCCCGACAGAGTCTGCGGTATGTTCGACAGAGTCTCCGCCTCCGGAGGCGCCTCCACCCCGCCTGCCACCGCCGCCGATGAAACCGCTACTACCACTGCAGCAGCTGCAACGGCAACCAGGCTTACCCTTGTGCTGCTGAGGCTGCATTTGCTGATGATGCTGACTCTACTAATAATGCCATTGCCATTCTTGATGCTGCTGCAGTTTACTACGCCAAATCCTAGTGGTGAAGCCGCTCTGTTAGAGAGGTTTGGACTAGTTGTAGGGACATAAATTAGCATTTTCTAAGACTGATGTTAATGAAAATAAAGAACCTTCTCTTGGGAGTTGCCATTTTTTTCCTTATCTCTTCAGCTAATGGTGGTCCCAGTACAGGGTTGATTGCTCTACAGCTCATCTACGTGTCTCCAATCTCCACCACATGATAATATATGCAAACTTGCCAAGGGCATGTGAAAGCAAGAGGAAACTGTTGGAGAAAACAATAGCTGCTTGGGATTTGAAGATAAAGAAAAAAGAAAAAAAAAATTCCCTGCTGCCACTGAACTTTTAAAATGAAATTCCCTGTCCACATCGCCAAAAAAATTGTGCCAAGAAACGACGTGACGCGCAGTAGATGTTTTTAACATTGGATCCTGACAAAGTACTATTTAATCCGGGCCGCATTTACCATGTCACTACACAGTAAGATTTTGTTCAATTATTTACCTTGTCACTACACAGTAAGATTTTGTTCAATTCTCTGCTCCATAGGTCACACCGATTTAGGTAAGTCACCTGCAATATGATTATTTAAAATTAAAGACATTAATTTTGATGGCTCAACATATAAGACGTTTTAAGATGAGGATTTTTAGTAATGAGAAAATTGATCGAAAACGATGGAAGATAATGTTATATTTTTTCTTTACCTCATTATTTGATGGAAACCTTTTGATGAAAACCATATATATATATATATATATATATATATATGTTATGTCTATATTATTATTTTGATGTTTTATAAAGGTGTTGTACACTTTCATAGATGGATGGTGATGATGGAAATATTATATATATATATATATTATTTTAAGTATAAAATTTCTTGTTGATGATAATTATTTTTTGATGAATAATAGAATGTACTTATTAAGCGTTATGCTTACTAGATATTTCTCATGTTGCAGCTAGGAACAAGAGCTAAGAATGAGGATGAAGGAGTTCGGTGTGTATGTGTGCGTGGTGGCGGAAACAGAATATTGAGCGACGCATCCTGAATTTATGATTTGAACTTTTATGCAATTATTTATAATTCCGCATATTTAAGTCTTTGTTTTATTTTATGAATTTTCGCCAGTTGAAGATGTTTTGTTCGGTTTTAGTAATGTTGCAACTATTTTTTATTTTTAAATGAAGTTTATTTGAATTAGTTAATAAGTCATGTTAAAAAGAATTAAGTTATTTTTATATTATTTTTTTATTTAGAGTACGCAAAATTTTATTTTTATCATAATTTCTTTAATTCCTTCGTGGTATGGTAGCTTTAATTCCTTCCCTGTTGGTTCGGTTCTGGTGCTATTAGTTGTGATATATGACTATGGCTGTACATGGGTTGGGTTTATATAGGGTAAGATTTTTTCTTATCCCGCCTCAAAGGGTACGGGTTGCACATATTTGGTCCCAACGATGTTAAAATAATTTTACAACCCAATGATGTTTAGGTTGGGTTGGGGTGGGGCGGGATGGGTTGGGTGGTCGGGCTCATCATTCAAAGATTAATGAAAGTTCAATCCAGAGGTAGAGAGAGCCGAGAGGAGAGGCGGAGAGGCAGAGAGCTAAGAGGAGAGACAGAGAGAGCTGAGAGGAGAGGTGGAGAGAAGCCACCGGTGCTGGAGAGCTTAAGGATCTAGGTCGATTGGTCGAGGAAGGACTGAAGATAGTCTATGTCTACGTGTGGAGAGGAGAGTTGCTAGACGGAGAGAGTAGAGCCTAGGGTTAGAACTTAGAAGATATGACTCATGCATGTTTGTGCGGGTTGGGTTAGGATATGCATGTTATTATAGGCTCAATCCACAAATCATTCTAAACACTTCAAGCTAGACATTTAGTGGGTTGAAAAATAAAAAATAATGTTATAAATTACCTTTTTTAAATTTGATTGGGATAGAATGAATTGTATTTAGGAATTGTTCGGATTTATGTACAATCTTATATATAACATTCTTCTCAACAAAAGAAAGAACTCGTCAGGATGTCGCATGCCAGATGATGTATTATCGCTTATAAAGGGTAAAAATATAAAAGACACGTAACATCTGATACCTTATAGTTAATAATTGACTAACTTCATCAAACAATAAATAAAAAAGTAATTGACGGAGGATTTCTAGAATTTAATATTATTTTACTTATGGGAAACCTTGGGCATGTTTGTTTGCGTTTTCATTTTCGTTTTTCACGGTTTTTAAAGTAAAAAAATGAAAACGGGTGTTAAAAACGTGTTTGGTACAATTTTTTTTAAAAAACAAAACCAAAAACGTTTTTGTCTTTTTGTGAAAATCAGAAAACGAAAAAAATGTGTTTTCATTTTCTCGTTTTCGTTTTCTGTTTTCTGAAAAACGGATTTCACTTTTTTTTTTTTTTTTCATTTTCTATATATTTAATAATATTATTTATTTAATATATTATTACATGTTTTCAAAAATTAAACCACCAAACGCAGTTTCAGTTTTTTTTAAAACTGAAATCAATCTCTAAATAAAACTACCAAACGCATTTTTAGAAATAATTCAAAAATGAAACTAAAAACGTTTTCATTTTCATTTTCGTACAGAAAATAAAAACATTTTGGAATCAATTCCAAACGCACCCTTTATTGTTAGTTTTGTTTTTTATTATTAAATATGATTAAAATTACATTAAAATTTTAAATATGCGTAGATTATGTCTCGTTTATTTTACCGATTTGAGTTTTTAATTTTAAATTTTTATAGTAAAAAATTCTCAAAAAATATCACATATAACTTTTTCTGCTACAGTAAAAAGTTTTTAAAAAATATTACATCTCAACTTAAATTGAAAACTCGAATCCGCGAGAAGTGAACGAAGCCTAAATAATTTTTAATAATTAACATAGTTAGTCTGGGATGTTCATGATTATTATTGTACTCCAAAATGGTCCAAACAGTTTTGAGCAATATGACTGACGTAACATTAGGATCAAATTTCAGATAATTGGGCTCTGGAAATAGAAACATGACTGATAAACCTCATTGTTCAGATTTCGGATTTCAACATGACTGATAATTACATCTCATAATTACAATGTTTGTGATTATAGACGACTGATATCAGATTTGTCCGACCCTCTTTCTCCATAAAAAAAAAAAAAAAAGAATGTAAAAGAAAAAAGTTCACTCACCATCTAAATTTTATAAAAGAATAGAGCAACATTATTAAAAATCAAAATGAAAAAAAAAAAAAATATATATATATATATATATTATTTGGAACATATCACATTCACACCACCTATGTCATTAATAGTTTCATGGATAGATCGATTTGGACGGAATTGGTTTTTCAATACTTTTATGTAGTTAAGGGGGCTATAACCATAACCACTGTCATCAGACGTCCTTAAAAACCATAGTGACATAAATGCGACAAAAGAAAAACTGAGCACATATAAATAAAATCATATATATATATATATGTCAAATAATTAATTTAAAATTTTCATCCAAATTACATATAAAATAAAACTAACATTTATTAAAAAATTCTAATTTATTAACCTTGACATCAAACACATATACGTTAACGATATTATTAATAACATAAACACACATTCCATTTTCTTGAAAAAATGAAGAATTTATCTTTAAGAGTGTATGAGTTTGAACCTTCATCCGTTATTTTTTATAAAAACCCTTTTATACTATAAGAAATTGGGTTACAAGCGACGACTAAAAGTCGTTACAAAAAATATAAAGTCATCGCAAATATATTTTTTGCGACCATTTGTCGTCGCAAACATGTCACCGCAATTGAATCGTCGCAAAGATATTTTTTGCGACCACTTGTTGTCGCAAACATGTCGCCGCAATTGAATCGCTGTAAAAAAAATTTTGGGACGACAAGTCGTTGTCGCAATTACATTTGCGACGACAATCGTCGCAAATAAGTCACTGTAATTATTTCGTCGGTTGCATCGTCAAGATGACATATCATTAAGTATTTGCGACAACAATTTGTGCATTCAGTTGTCGCAAAAAATGTTGAATTAGCTGACGTGGCATAAATGTTTTGACCACATTTGTCGTCACAAATAGTATTTTAATTATTTATTTATTTTTTCTCATTTTAATAATTAATGTTATATATTACTATATATTTAAACGCAATATTAAATATAATTCATGATATTATAATAATAAAGAATAATTAATTAAAAGAAAATAAATAATATAGAAATATAAATAAAAATTATTACGGTAGAAAGTAATTAATAAAATAAAATAAAAATATAATTATAGTAAAAAGTAATTAAAAATGTATGGAAATAAAAATTGTTACATTAATAAAAATCTAATCTCCTAAGTTAGCAGCGTCACTGGAATCATTGTCGTTATCATCAGAAGGATTTAGAGGCGGAGGACCTAGACGAACATACGGCAGGAGAGGAGTAACCGATGGGAACTGAATGTTGGGGTGCATTTGAGCCATCAAGTCATGCATCATTCTGAAGCTCTCGTACATCTGGAGGTTTTACTGGTAACTCCACTGCAAGTATTCTTCTACATGTGGGTCCGAATGTGTCGTAGAATATCCTGCCGAGCGTGAGCCAGATGACGACACATCCCCTTGATAAACCCTTTGAGGGAGTGTGCGACCCACTCCAGTCTCGTGTCCTCTGCGGGTGCCCAGAAACTGCTCTGTAATATCCTCCTCATTAACCGCTCCTGTTGTGGATTATTCAGAAGTAACAGACTGTGTCTGGATCTGCGTTTCCCTTTCTCCCTTCATCCGATGCTACAAACATTATAAGAATAATAATTAAATACATAATCCGATTTAAATAAAAAGATGTAATTAAACATTACGAGTATACTTACAAAAGTCTACTCAACTTGGGGATTAACCCATGTATCCCCATGACGATGAATGTCCCCCCTAGTTATCGATGACGGACATCGACTATTGAGTCCCTGTGGTAGATTGTATAATAGTTTGAATGTATATGAATATAGTGTAATCGATTACTAACTTAACATTTATATTGAATAAATTATTAACAAATACTTACTTTCTTCTCACAATGTTAGGAGTATGATAGCTGACCATGAAAGCTCGACCACTTTTGGTTGCTACGATTAAGTTTATTGATTCCTGACTTTTTCTATTTATGATTACATTCAGCGTTAATAAAATTAACATTTATTATATATAATAAAATAACATATAAAAGAGATCCAATTACTTGAAACTTGTTGGACATGAATCTATCGCAGCAATGACCCCAATGATCTGGATTCCTGAGGTTTTTAGGAGGGTGGGCACTAACTACACTCTCATTTTTCGGCCCACCAAGATCTTTAAAATAGTCATGGAGGTCACTTTTCTAATTTTTATAACATTTTGTAGCCTCCCTGTCGACCACAAACCTAATTATACCTTCATCGCGGTCATAATCAAGATTGTACCATTCTTGTAATACAATATAAACATGTTAAGTGATTTTATTATATTAAAATTTAGATTAAATTAAAAAATAATTAAGTTGAATAATTTATACCAGCAGACGCTGTTGAATCTCTCTCTTATGATGGATGTCCACATCCTTCCAGGCATCGTGGAAAGGCTCACAGACATCCCTAACATGGATTCCTACAGCACTATTAAACTAGGTGTCGTAGTTTCCAATTGCCTTCCAAGTACCTTCACGTTCGTCAAACATGAGTGAGCTTTCCATCCTTTGTCACTTTGGCTGCGATTTCATAACCCTTAGCCTTCCCTCGACCTCCACGACGTCGTCGAATTGCGGCATCCGGTGTTGTAGAATGAAATCTATTTAGTGATCATATAATATTGATGTAATTAATTTAACAAATTTATAATTATGTTCCAACATACCACCCTCACAGTGTGATGGTAACCTATAAGGATCGGCTCAAGGCTGCGCTCCCCTTAAAGAGGCTTTTCTCATCTCTTCAAGCTGCCACGCCATTCCTCCATCACTAGTTTCTTGTACTTGAGGTGCCATTGATTGGTTGACAGCCTATTGAGATGATTGCTTGGGAGGGATTGATGCATTGTTTGCCTGAGACTGTCTAGATGTCTTGTATTTATAACTAATGAGGCTCCAAAGAGTTTTCTGTTTTCCTGGGTGATTTGGCGTTCAATACGTGATCCTTGTTTCCCTTCTAGGTGATATTTCTTTTGCATATTCACCTTCCTGTTGATTGGTCAAACGCGGTTTGCTGTCCATTACAAGTTGATTCTTATTCTTTATTGCGTAGCTACTGAGAATTTAGTTTCCTTATGTGGAAGGCAATTAATCTCGCTCAGAGGACTTGTTACTTGTTTGCCCAAGTCAACTGTTGACCTCTTTTCTCATTGATTCTTCTAGCTTGACTGGCTGATTTCTTTCATTTTTAGGATGGTCTCATTGCCAATTCCTTTCTAAGGAATGTCATAAGGATATTCTCTCGTTTTTTGGTGCTTAAGGCTGAGTATCGACTCGTGGGATCAATCGGTGAAATTGATTGATCGATGAGTCGTTTTAACATGTCTGAAAAGTCATGGTGACTCGTTTAGTGACCTTCCGAAACTTAACTACATATACTATGAGAGATAACATACAAAATCTGATCTCAACAACATTTACTCTAAAATTTTTTCTCACTCATCGTAGTTTTCTGATTGTAAAATTGATTGATATTTAAATAGTACATAGTATTAATTACTTGATGGTTTAAAATTAATTTTATTTAACTTTTTAATGCCTTCAAAAATATTCGTGTTTCACGTGTATAAAGTTTCTTATTGTAGGCCGATACAAATAAAAAAAGCATGCCAAGTCCACATATTTTGAGACGGAATACATAATGAACATTATTATTTCAAGCATGAGATGATTGAGTGCAAGTTCTTTATATTTTTCTTTTAAGTTTAACAATGATAAAGAAAATATTCTTATCCATCAGCTGCAACTAAATATTTCCAACCTCAACCAAATTTACATATTCATTTTGTTATTGATAAGATTACCATACTAACCTTTTGTTAGATTTGTATTTGTATTATGTGCTCTTTCACTATATTACACAAATTATTTTACCTTTTATATATCTACAGATACAGATATTTATATTTATATATAATATTCAATACATATTTATAAATTATATTAAATATATACTATATTAAATACTGAATTCTTATGCTAAAAAAACTAGATTTGTATATATTCAGATCGTGAAAGAAATAGGTGCCAAAAAATATATTTTATATTAAAGACACGTGTTTATGCCTTGTACTTAAAATAGCCGACAAAAAAAGAATAAAAAAGAAAAAGAAAGGACATACAAATGATGTTTAAAATATCAGACTTTATAGGAAATCAGTTAGTTGATAAAGGTTATTATAAATCAGTTAGTTGATAAAGGTTATTATAGGAAATCTACCCATTTTTTTCCCTTCAACTAAAGTACACACAATCCGTCCAACAATGGGAGGATTGATTTTGGTGGGTCCCAAGGGTCCCTACCTCTTTTCACTCCTCTGACCTTTCCGCCCAGCTAAACAAGGTTACTTTTCCTTTATTGCTCCCTCCACCCTTATTGCTCCACTTATTTTAGTAATTAACATGATCACATGTTATTTTAATTTGAGTTAAAGTATATTTAAGTATAATTTGACTTAAAATATTAATTTGAGTTTGTATTAGATATACACATTTTAAGTTATAGTTTGAATTGAGAATCTATTTGAGTTTGTGTTTAGATATGTCAAAATTTAAATTTGTATTTAAATAGTATTTTAATAAAAACTCAATAGTGATAGAACATTTTAATAGGGTATATGGGTGATATTTTTTTCGTCTCTTCATAGTGAACGTGTAAAAAAAATCATCTCAATCGAAATTAAAACGAAAAAGTTATGGTATTTTTAATAATAGAAAAAATATTATTTATTAACTTGAGTATGAGTTTAAGAACTTGAGTTGAAAATAAAACTTAAACTCAAATTTTAACCTCAAACTCAATTTTAAACTCAAATTTTACAAAAGAATATGACCACGGAATAACTGTAAAAAAAAATACCACACAATAACTTGCTGGTGCAACATTATTCAATTTTCATAATGGAATCTCACACGTGCGCACATACTCTATAAAAAAGGCGCAAACTCATAGGATAAGCATGACAAAGCCAAACAGGAAACAGCTATAGCCTCCTCAGTCCTCTCTGCTGAAAAAAAAAAAATGAATCCAACAAAATCAAAATCCACAAGAAACAACTCCAGCTCTCTTGTGGTTCTTGCTCTATTCTTGTTTCAACAATGCCTTCTCCATAATCTATTTCTTGTTGAGGCTACTTCTACTAAAGTATGAAATATGAATTAATCATGAATTCTTCAAATGAACATGATATGTTATTCTATATATACACATATACATATACATATATATGTACTGGTTCTAAAAGAATCAACGTTTTCATTTCAGGTTCACATTGTGTTCTTAGGAGAGAAGAAGCATGATGATCCTGTAGCAACTAAAAAGTCTCACTATAAGATGCTATCTGACTTCTTAGGGAGGTACGTATGTATATAAAAATGATATATTTATATTGCTACAGTGTTTCTATTATTATATATTAATATGGACAATACATAGATGTAAAATAGTATAATCTTTACTCAATTTTGTAATTACTGAAGCAAGGAAGCTGCGAAGCAGTCCATTTTTTACAGCTATAGACATGGCTTTTCCGGGATTGCTGCAAGATTAACAGACGCCGAGGCCAAAGCTATAGCAAGTGTGTCATAATTTTCAAGAACTTTATCACTGTCTTCCTTTTCTTTTTCTCTTTTATTTTTTTTTTTTAATTTCAAAGATCCATATTACTCTAGGTAAGTATATATATTACCACCATATATACATTGCTGAATGCAGAAATTCCTGGAGTTGTGAAAGTAATTCCAGACTACATTGTCAAAGCTCATACGACTAGAAGTTGGGACTTCTTGGGAGTCCCTCACAAATATTCGCCACAAAGTCCTTTATCTAAGAATCTGGGGCAAGGAACTATTATTGGCGTGGTTGATTCTGGTTAGCTACATCTATGTTACTAATACCCGATAAATTTGGATAATGACATTAAAGGCACTATGTTTCTTTATCATTTTATTGTATATTAACTGATAAAGTAGTAATGACATTTCAAAGAGCTCAAATTTAACTCAAATTTGCATCATATATATATATATATATATGTATGTATATGTATGTATATATTAGGTGTATGGCCAGAGTCTGAAAGTTAAAGTGATGATGGCATGCCTCCAATCCCAAAACGCTGGAAAGGCATCTGCGGAAAGGGCCAACAATTCAACAGCACAAATTGCAACAAGAAAATCATTGGCGCTCGGTGGTTCGTAAAAGGATTTCTTGAATCACATCAATTAAACAAAAGTGGAGTCAAAGATTATCTATCGGCAAGGGATATTGATGGGCATGGAACTCACACAGCCTCAACTGCCGCTGGGAATTTTGTGAAAAATGCAAACTATAAAGGACTGGCAGCGGGAGTGGCGAGAGGCGGAGCGCCTCGTGCTCACTTGGCGATCTACAAGGCCTTGTGGGAGGAAAGTGGAAGAGGCGCTACATCTGATATTCTAAAAGCAATCGACAAAGCCGTTGACGACGGCGTTGACATCATATCCGCCTCTCTTGGCTCGACCGTTCCTCTTCTGCCTTTGGATAAGGATCTAACCGCATATGCTGCTCTCTTGGCCACTGCAAAGTGATACCTTCTTCTTGGAAGGAAGAACAAGGTATCAGGATCACCCCTTTTGAGCGGGTGAGTTCTCCAGAAACAAGAAATTGGGAAGGATATTTCAGAGAGAGGAGAGGAAAGGAAGGTAGAAAATCTATTTCATTTCATTCATAATCCCCATAACAACAAACAGCACCCCTTTCTAGCTAGCCTCTGGCTGCCTCGGGCGAAAACAGTAATTGGTTACATAATGCGATAACAAATCCAACTCAGCAAAGCAAGAAAATAAAAATAGCAATATTCTGAATTAAGGCTTCCCTAAGACAAAGTCTTTGTATTTCCCAGGAATCTTCTTGGGCCTTTCGGTCCTAGTGATGTTCTGGGCCTCCTCCTGGACTGTGGACGCTGGCCTATTCTGCTCAAGTGGGCTCGTAGGCAGAGTTGGGTCCGAGGTCATATCACTCCCCCCATCTTGAAAAAACACCTTGTCCTCAAGGTGAAATGCAGGGTAAGCCACACGAAATAGGTCCAGAGGCTCCTAAGTGGCTTCTTCGGGTGCACTGTCACTCCATTGAACTAAGAGCTGCACCCGTAACTTCCCCTGCTGCAAAACCTGGTGTACTACGCAAATGGCAACAGGAGTAGACACCGGTTGATTATTGACAAACATGGTGGGCAGTGTGGTGTTGTGCTCCGTTGCTGACCCTCGGAAGGGTTTGAGAGTAGAAACATGGAACACGTTGTGGATTTGTGATTGGGAGGGAAGCTCAAGCTTGTAGGCCACAGGACCAATGCGTTCCAGGATTTTGAAGGGGCCGTAAAAACGTTTGGCGAGCTTGTGAGACACCCTCCTTCCACTGAAATCTGCCTATACGGTTGTAAACGCAGCAGGACCAAATCACCCACACTGAAATGCAACTCCCGTCTATGAGCATCGGCTTTTTGTTTCATTCGGTGTTGAGCATTGGCAAGGTTTTCCTTGAGATGACGTAACAGGAGGTCCCTTTCCACCAGAAGGTCGTCCAAAGATTGGATTGAAGTAGAGCCCTGTAAATACGGTGGGATGGATGGCGGAAGCCGGCCATACAAGGCCTGAAATGGAGACATTTTAAGGCCACTGTGATAACTGGAGTTATAGGAAAATTCTGCCCAACCCAGAAATGAATACCAACTAGAGGGTTTTTCATTCGTAAAAGCGCGCAAATACTGCTCAAGCCCCCGGTTGACAACCTCGGACTGTCCATCGGTTTGCGGGTGATGCACGGTGCTATGTTTCAAGGTAGTCCCACTTAATTCGAACAACTGAGACCAAAATTGGCTCATAAAAACGGGATCACGATCAGACACTATGGATTGTGGAAATCCATGGAGCTTAACCACCAAATCCGCAAAGAGAGCAGCGACCTTTGTGGCTGTAAAATGAGTCGGGAGAGCACCAAAGTGTGCGTACTTGGTGAGTCTGTCAACGACGACCATGATGACGGTGAAACCATGAGAAGTGGGTAAATGTGTAATAAAATCCATTGTTAAGGCATCCCAAACTAGTGAGGGAATCGGTAAAGGCTGTAAAAGTCCTGCTGGAGCTTTGGTGGAATACTTCGTAGCCTGGCAGATTACACAGCAAGACACAAAGGTCTCTACATCTTTTCTCATGTTTGGCCAGTAAAAAATGGATGCCAGACGGACCAATGTCCGTTTGATTCCCGCGTGTCCCGCCATTGGAGACGCATGAAACTCATGCAAAAGCATTGTTTTCAACGCGGAGTGTGGACTGATATAATAGCGGCCACGACAGAGAAGAATACCTTGGTGCTTAGAGAATTTGGAATCCAGTGATCCCTCGGCCAACCGGCCATGTAAGGCCACCAAATCAGCCAAAGACTCATTTTCAGCTCGCAGGGATTCCAAGAACAGTGGCATGGGCCTGCTGTCGAGGGTGAGACAACACGCGAGATAAAGCATCAGCAGCCGCGTTGGACTTTCCCGGTTTATATTCAATACGAAAATTAAACCCGAGAAGCTTCCGAATGAAAACTTGTTGATCCGGAGTTTGCACCACCTGAGAGAGAAGTTCCCTGATGCTTTTATGGTCGGTCTGAATGACAAAAAAATGACCAAGGAGATATTGCCGCCATTTATGGACCGCTTCCGCTATGGCGTGTAACTCCTTAATGTATGTCGAGGCAATGCGCAGTTTGGGTCCCAACTTCCGGCTGAAGTATGAAATGGGATGGCCGGCTTGCATAAGTACTGCTCCAATTCCCACATTGGAGGCATCGGTCTCCACAATAAACTCTTCAGTGAAGTCGGGCAATCGCAATACCGGGGCAGCCAGCAGTGCTTGCTTAAGAGCCTCAAAAGCCTCCGTGGAAATATCAGACCACATGAAACCGTCTTTTACCAACAAATCAGTGAGCGGCGCGGCGATGGACGCGTAGCCCCGAATGAACCGCCGGTAATACCCGGTAAGACCCAAGAATCCACGTAATTGTTTGACTGAAGAAGGAAGGGGCCAATCGGCCACTGCTGCCAATTTCTGTGGGTCTGCTTGAACCCCCATTGCCGACACAACATGGCCCAAGTAGTCGATGGAGGTACGGCCAAACAAACATTTGGATAGCTTAATGTAAAACTGATGTTCCCGAAGGCAAGAGAACACTTGCTGCAAATGAGAACAATGGTCAGTAACCGATGTACTGTAAATTAAGATATCATCAAAAAATACGATAACAAATTTTCAAAGAACAGTCGAGAAAATTTGATTCATAGTTGCTTGGAATGTGGAAGGAGTGTTCGACAACCCAAACGGCATAACCAAGAACTCGAAATGGCCCTCGTGCGTACGGAACGCTGTCTTGAAGATATCCCGATCATGAACCCGGATTTGGTGGTACCCGGCACGCAAGTCCAGCTTGGTGAAAATGGTTGCTCCTCCTAATTCATCCAACAATTCATCAATTGTTGGGATCGGAAATTTGTCGGGGATTGTGGCTGCGTTTAGTGCTCTGTAATCGACACAAAATCGGTACGACCCATCCTTCTTCTTGACCAATAGAACCGGTGATGAAAAAGGACTGTGGCTGGGTCGTATAATACCTTGCACTAACATCTCTCTCACCAACTTTTCCATTTCAGATTTCTGAAAATGCGGGTATCGATAAGGCCGGACATTGACTGGTTTGGCATTTGGGAGCAAAGGAATGTGATGGTCATTAGGGCGGTGAGGGGGTAATGAGGTGGGCACGGTGAACAAGTCTTGGAATTGGGCAATGAGGGCGTAAAGAGGGGAAGGTACATCCGAGGGGAGGCCAACTGGAATGGAGGTGTCGGGGGAATTTGGGTGGAGGTGGTGGAGTTCAAACAAGCCATGAACAATGTTATTGGTGAGGAGGGCATGGAGCTGGTTGAAAGAGATTTGTCGCGGCGTCAAAGAGGATTCACCCTGGAGAACCACCGAGGATCCATTATACACGAATTCCATAGATGGAACAGCGTAGTCATGCGAGACTCGTCCGAGCCATTGTAGCCATTGAATCCCCAAAACCACATCAGGACCTTCAATGGGCAGAATATATAAATCGACCAGAAACTCAGACCCTTGCAAGGATAAAGGCACCTGAGGACATAAGTGTTTGCAAAGTAAACAGTCACCGTTGCCAATATAGACCTTGAAGACTGAAATGGGCTTAACCGAGAGGCCAAGACGTTCGGCGAGGCGTGGTTTGATGAAGTTGTGAGTGGAACCACTATCGATGAGGACCTGAAAATTGTTAGAGCCGTGGTGGCCCAGAAGTCGAAGCGACCGAGGATTCCCTTGACCAACCAAGGCATGTAAGCTGGAGATATCACCCGAAACCACAGCGTCATCCCCTATGTCGAGGACCGGCTCTGGTGGGTCACTGGAGTATTCTTCGTTGTCGTCCTCCGTTCCCAAGAGCAAGAGATATTTGCTGCGACAACGATGGCCAGAATTCCATTTCTGGTCACAATTATAGCAAAGCCCCTGTTCACGTTTTTGGCGTAGCTCCGCCGGCGTTAAACGGCGAATCGGAAGGGCCGGGATGGGTAAAAGTGGTGGCTGCGGATTGTTTGTGGGTGGAGGAACAGTGGTCAATGCAGATGGTGCGGCGGCATGTGTATGTATTGGAGTAGGGCTGAATTGGGGAGGTCAGTTTGTGTGGGTAGAGGTTGGAGTGAGTGGGTTTGGGCCTACAGTTGGTGGGTGGGCCTGTTTGGGATTCCACTTGGACCACGGGCGATTATCACGACCTGAGTCCTCCATTCGGGCTTCGAAGGCCCTGGCTAAGGCAAAAGCATCCATGAAGGACGGTGGCCGACTGAGGAGCAATTCCCTCTGAATCGGTGTTCTTAAACCAGATACAAAAAAAGAAATCAAGAGGGGTTCAGAAATACCAGTTACTCTGTTCATCAGTGTCTCGAAATCAGATTGAAACTCTGCAACCGTTCCTCGTTGAGATAGCTTGGAGAGCAATCCCTGAGGGTCCTCATACGCCGACGCCCCGAATCGGAGCCGGAGGTTGTGGAGGAACGCCGGCCACGTAGTGAGGAGTCTGTTGCTCTTCATCCACTGGTACCAAGCGGATGCACGACTCTCGAGGTGAAATGCCACGATTCGAAGACGAGAATCCTCATCAGTATTATGGAAATCAAAAAATTCCTGTATACGGAAAATCCAGTTATCAGGATCAGTACCGTCAAATTTGGGAACGTCCATTTTCATGGAGCGGAGAACAGGAGAAAGCTCCGGATGGCCCAACGATTTGTCCGTGAGCTGATTCGTCACCGATGGGTGATGAGACGGTCCCCCAGAGTAGCGATGCGGTCCGTGAAGCTGTGAACGAAGATCTTCAATACAAGTCATGTGTTGAAGAAGAGTTTTGTTCATCGTTTGTGTCTGACTCTCAAAGTGAGCCTGCAAGGCCAGTGTTCAATCATCCAGTTGTGTCTGTAGAGCTTTGAAAGCAGCCAAGAGCTCGGATTCCGCCATGCAGAAAAACTCAATGAAAGCAC